AAGACACCATTTGCTAAAACACCCAACAAGACACAGGTGATCTGAACTGGACTACACCTATTAAAGAAACTGAAGCAACAGTCAAATAATCTTCCAAAACTGAAGGCATCAAAACTCAGATGGGTTCAGTGGTGAATTCTACCAAATATTTTAGGAAGAAATTATACCCGTTCTCTATAACCTCTGCCAGAGGATAGAAGCAGAGAGAATACTTCTTAACTCATTTCATGAGGCCAGCATCACCTTGATACCCAAACCAAGGGCATTACAGAAAGCTGCAGACCAATTATCTCTCATGAACAAAGATGCAAAAAGTCTCAATAAAATATTAGCAAATCATGTCCATGATGTTTAAAAAGAATTAAATACTACAACCAAGTGGGATTTATTCCAAGTATGCAAGGCTGGTTCAACATTTCAAAAGCAACAGATTAAACAAGAAAAATCAAAACACTTGTTCCTGATTGATAAACACAGAAAAAGCATTGGACAAATTCTAGCACCAATTTATGATTTAAACAAAACCTCTCAGGGACTTAGAAATGGAGGACAACTTCTTCAACTCAAGAAAATCTACAAAAACCCCTACAGCTAACACCATATTTGTGACACACAAGGCGCTCACACCAAGATGCCCCTCAGCAGGCGAAGAGAGAAACCGTGGCCCATCCAGACATTGGGATGTTCTTCAGTGATGAACAGAAATGAGCTATGAAGCCATGAAAAGCCGTGGAGGAGCCTTAAGTTCACACTGTAAGGTGAAAGGAGCCCACCTGAGAAGGCTGCACACTGCACGATTCCAACTCTGCGACCCTCGGGAAAAGGCGATGCTATGGAGGCAGCGAAAAGATCTTGCTTGCCGGGCGGGGGTCAGGGACAGAGCGAGGAGGGGCGAATTTCTATGCTGAGGGCAGTGGAATGACTCTGTCTACTGGAATGATGACTACACGCCCTCATGTTTGTCCGAACCCACGGAACATACAGCGCTGGGAGTGAACTATGGACTCTGGGCGATGATGGCATGGAAGTTCGTCAGCTTTAGCAGATGTACCCTCGGGGGCGGGGGAAGCTGACAGTGGGGAGGCTGTGGATGCTGGTGAGGGGAGCAGGGAGTATACGGGAACTCTACACTTTCCTTTCAATTTTTCTGTGAACCTAAGACTGCTCTAAAAAATAAAGTCTATAAAACCAAAAGAAAAAGGAAAAAAGTGCTATGAAGGAAGTCAAGTGCTGTAGGAAAAGAAAGCCCAGAAAGGGCAGGTTCTGCCCAGTGGTGGGGATGGGCCGGGGGCCCTGGGACGGCCGGTGCCTGGATCCCAGGCCCTGCCAGCGAGCCTCAGAGCTTCCCGCTGGGCAGGTTCACACTGAGCCCACCACCCTCGGGCTGCTACCTGGCCCTGGGGACACCGAGGTTCTCTAACAAGGTTGATGCCTTCTCTCCTGGAGCTCTCAGTCCATGTGGGGGGACAGACAACAAGCCAGTGACGTGTGTGCATACACAGGCACATGCTCGCCCTCGCGTGTGTAGCTACAGACCATGAGGTCACAAGAGCAGCTGAGGCGCAGGGGCTACTTCCTCAGCCAGGGAGCACAGGAAGTCTGCTGCAAAGTGATGCTGAAGCAAGGAACTAAGGGCTGAGAGCGGGCTGACACAGAGATGGGGGTTGGGCTTCCCAGGCGGAAGGGACGGGAGGGGTGATGAAGAGGTGCCCATGATGGGCACTAGACAGGAGATGGTGCAAGGGATGTGGGTGCAGGGGATATGGGGTCCAGGAGGGCTCCTGCCCCTAGCAGAGGCAGCAGGGGAGGCTGAGTGAACCTGGGATTCTGCAGCCAGCCAGGACAGCTCTGTGGCGCCCCTAGTGGCAGGGCCTGGCCTCTGGTCAAGGAGCCTCCAGGGACACACCACACAGAGCACTTCACTCGTGGCCCTGCTGCCCTATGCCCGTGCTGCTCTTGAACTTCCTGGCCTCTCCACTGGGCCTCCGCACCGGCCCCTCCTCTGTCTAGAATGTTCTTCACACACAGCCACTTGTTCACTCCACCTTATCCTCGCTCAGATGAAAGGGTGCCACCGTGCCCCTTCCTGGACTGCCAGCCCCACCGGCCCTCTTTCCCAGCGACATGCGGCCTCTACTGTTCCCCGGCTCCATGCCTCCCCCACTCGTGTCCCGGCCACCCACCCAGCCTGGGCCCCATGAGCGCTGGGGTCACGTCAGCCTGCTCCCCACAGCTCTGGGCTGCAGTCCTCCATCGCTGCCAAGTGAGTAACTGACTGAGCTCGGGTCCAGGCTGCGGGGGCCTCGCCAGGCTCTCCGGCGTCTCAGATTTGAGCTTCAGTCTTTCTGCCTGACCTGAGTCCCAGCTCGGCCTATGACAGGCGGCGGTCAGGGACCCGCCTCCCAGGGCTGCTGCAAGGGCTACCTGGGCAGGGGCAAGTGAGCGGGGCTTGGTCACATGGAAGCCATGTGTTGGCGGTGACCCTACTTTCCCAGCGCAGTGAGGCTTCAGGAAGAAAGGGCACTGCAGTGGCATCTGACTGGGGTCGTTGGGCACCTCGCAGAAAAGCAACGGGGTGGGCACTAACCAAGTGCACGCGAGAAGTGCCCGAGCACTGACTGACACACAAACGCTTTCTGGGATTTCCTGGTTAGTCCTCCCTTCCCTCTCTGGTCACCTGCCCTTTGGCCAGGTCACCGCAGAGGTAGAGGAGAAGTGAGAGGAGGTGAAACCCAGCCAGCCTGCTGTTCCCCAAGCACGGACTCCATGCCTGGGTCTGTCCACAGCACCCACAGCCGCCAAGCTCTGAGAGTGGGCCCCAGGTCGATGGAGGTGGGGGCGCTGGCGCTCCCCCGCCCAGGGCTCGGTCCCGAGGGTGCGTCCTCTGGCATTTCCAGGAAAGACAAACCACACTGCAGACCAGATGGGAGTCACAAACTTTGATTCTAGATGATCCACTGATCTGACCGTGAAGGTAAGACAACAGATAACACAGCAAAATGCCTTCATGGCTGGGGGAGGGTAGGAAGATCAAAGAAACACCACTATTAAGGGTGATAAATGGGCCACATAAAAATCAGAACTATCTGCTCCTCAGGACACCCCTGAGAATGAAAAGACATTGGGAGAAAACACAGGTGACCCACTTAACTGACAAAGGACCTGCCATCGCAACACATGCAGACCTCCAGACAAACAACCAGACAGGGAAACACCGAGTTGAACAGGTCCTTCACAGGACGGTTGCCAAAAGGCCGAAAAACATACAAAAAGGTAATTGTCCCCAGTGGACATCCGGGAGACGCCAGAGAGAACCACGGGGAGCACCACCCACCCACGGAGCACTGGAGACGGGACGGAGACGGGACCGAGCCAGCCCGATGGCGCCCGGCACCCAGAGCGCCAGGAACGAGCGGGCCCCCGTGCTGGCGGCGCACAGCGCGAACACACTGGAGCACTGCTGACGTCCTCCTCCGAAGCTGAGTCCCCGCAGCCCAGCAGCCCCACCCAGACACACGCCTGTGGAAGTGCAGCAAACCCTGCGGGGCGCCCGTGGAGGCAGAGGGCGACACCCACAGAGAAACCCATATGGAGATTCTCCCAGAAAGGGCCTGAGCTGAGATGCACCGTCACCTGCGGGCTCAGGTCTGGAGGCTCTCATCTCTGGGTCCCCTGGGCACGCGCTTTGAGAGAACTGAGGTGCACGCTTGAGATGTGTGCACTCTGCCATATTCACATGCTCACACGCACTCACACAGGAGCATCTCAATCAACACACTTCTCAGGTAGGAGACTCTGACTGCAGCCGTCTGCCCTCCAACGGGCCCTGCGGGGCTCCCTTTAGTCACACAGGCAAAGACGGGCCCAACCCCTCAGCCCTTGTGGCTGGTGCCAGTGCACCCGCCAGAGGGCTCTTGCCCGTGGGGCCCCACTTCGGCAGGAAAAAAACTGGCCACCAAATAGTGGGGTTCCCATGGAGGAAGGGCTGGTATGTCAGGGGCTGAGCCAGGTGAACCGGAGGGCCTGTGCCAGGGAGTACACCCTGAAAAGCCAGCGGAGAGGTGTCCACCACTGCCCCCTACACAGCAGTGAGGCCGGGGAAGGGCGGAGCGGCAGGGCTTGCCTCTGCACCTGATCCCAGGCAGCACCACCATGAGGCGGCGTGAACTGAACCAAACCGAACAGTCTAGCAGCTCCCACCCAACAGCCTTCTCAACAAAACACACACACTATGGTGTCCGTGCATCCAGACTGGAAGGGGAAAGGCGCTCCACACTCGTGCGTCCGCCCCAAAAGCCCTCTCCCCGGAACAGAACCACACTCATGAAAGGAACACAACATAGTTTACTGCGCCTTCTGTATACATCTCACGCCAGCAGCTGCTCATGGCCTGGGACCAACCTGACCGTCACCCACGGCCCGGCAGCCCTACCGCCCAGGCAGAGTATCTGCCACTTCCCTTTCTTCCTGAAATTTAAGAGAACTGAGACTAATTTAAGAAACCTCATTTACATTCCTCATTTGCCAATTTCAGAAGACCTGGCATATTGCTGCCTGCTATAAAATCCCCATGACATTTTAATTAGTACATATTTAGTCTGGATTAGAAAATCCTTAACTGTCAATAACCATGTTTTTGGTTTTCTGATTATCAGATTTACAAACTTAAAATTATTTTCCCTTCCAAACACTAAGCATTCTGAAGCAAGCTAAACCTGAGATCGTAGAATAATATCTCTAACCTGATCTGCTTCCTGAAAAAGCTGACTCAGATGGTAATTTTGGGGATGCACAAGGAGTCAAGGTGCTGCTTCATCCTATGGGCAGGGAATGACCAGCTGCTCCCAGTGCATGGGCTCTGCCTCCCTCCTCCCTGGGAAGGAAGGTGAACTGAGCTGAGGACGACACTCTCACACCGGTTTGCCCCGAACCTCAAGTGTGTCATAAACGGGAATTCCTGCCCGATCCCAAGCTGGACAGGAAAACAGGCGAGCAGCTCCACCTGGTGGATGAGGCGGAGCCCGGAGCCCTGGCGGCTTCACTTCTTGGCGAGCTCCAGCACCTTCGTCACCATGGCCCCGATCCCGTCATAAATGTGGTGGAGTGCCGTCTCGCACATGAAAGCCGGGGTTGTGACCACCTTGTTTTTCTGGTCCACATGAGCTTCGTGCACAGAAGTTAGGGAAAAGCACCACCCAGAAAGGAGGAGGAGGAGATTTAGGCATAAATCATGCACCAGCCACCGCTCCCAGCTGCCCTCCGAGTTAAGTGCCACTGTCCTTCCCAGTGTGACTGCGGGGGACACTCACTCACACACAAACACACTCTTCCCAGTGGAATCTGCTAGCAGGGCCCCACCTTCTGCACTATCCACACAACTGAACTAAGCAAGAACATGACCAGCACATTCCCAAGGAAGAAAGCAGCTTGCACCTCAGAGACCAGTGTCTGCTCCATGAAGCCATACAGTGGCGTGCACATGGGACCCACATCGGACCCAGGGCCCCCGCAGCCCTGGCCGGGTGCACAGTGCTGGCCCGGGACCCACCACCACCCTGGAGGCAGCCACAGCACCTCTGCTTTTCAGATGAAGGAAACTAAGGAAGCTCATCTGCATGCTGCTGTGACTGCAGTGCAGAGGCCAATTCCACCCGGGACCCACCTCGCCACCCTGGCTCTGCCCCAGGTCACCCAGAGCCTGGTAGGCGACAGAACTGGCCTCACCCTCACCTGCCCTGGACCTATGCAGAACCCCGGGCCAGCCCTGTGCCCACTGACCAGCCATGGGGTTTGCTGGCTGCTCTGCGCCAGAAGAGGCAACACAAACACCCGATACTGAATGCATAGCAGAAACTCCAGGGTGACAGAGCCACTTTCAGCACAGGCACCCAAAGGGACATTGTGACATGCTGCTCCTCTGACTCCGGCCCACATGGGATCCTGTACGCCTACGGTGCTCTGCGCAGCTCCTGGTTGGAGACTGCTGCCTGCCAAGCCACAGAAGAGGGGGTCCCATGCCACACGCTGCCCCCCGCTGCCAGAAAGGATATGGTCACTCCCTTTACACAGTGCTTGGCCCCCAGAGCTTTGATGGCTTCTGCAGTCCCAGCGTACGGCCACTTGCCACCTTCTTCCTGCTCGTGGCCCACGGTGACCTCGACACCGTGGAGCACTTTGGCTGCGAGGACAGGAGCAATGCAGCACAAGCTGAAAGGCGAAGGATGACGGGGTCAGCTCTGGACTGCACAGGTGGACACCAGGCCGGGGTGTGGGGAGGCTGCAGGGAGGAGGCGCTGGCGCAGTCCGCTCCCAGGCTCGGACGCTAGGCCGGTGCCGTTGGTGCCGAGGGGCTCCCAGGATGGCGACCGGGCAGGCCTGCGGTAAGTGACTGGTAAGGTCTGTGAGATGCTGAGCACAGGTGGGGACCGTCCTCTGTAGCCTGCGCCTTCCACTTGGACAAAGGGGTCTAATGTAAACTGATCTTTTTCTGTTTGCCGGTGATACAGCAGTGAGCAGCACCCACGGGAGCCGGGCAGGGAGAGGGGGCACTCGAGCCTGCACCCTGTGAATTTGTTCCTAGTGCGCGTGCACTGCTGTGCTCCTGCCAGGCCTTCTTCCCCACGGTGACCGACTCTGAGGGTGAGTGATACACGCGCTCCGGCTCACTGACATGGACGACCCACGCAGCGTGTTAGAGTAGGACTGAGAGGCAATCCCTGAGACACTCGTGGACACGAAGTCTGAAGAAATCAGGTCTGACCATGGGGTCTCCATCACACGTCTCTGAGACCCTCCTGGTTGTAGGCACGACTGCTCTTGCCCGTCGAGGGAGGGCAGCCAAGAGCGACCGTGGCAGGAATGGTGCTCACAGCAGCAGTGAGTGGGAGGCGAGGCACAACGAGCTGAGCGAGGACAGGAGGGCTGACGGAGGCCCCGGGAAGGGGTGCTGGGAAAGGATGGGAGTTTGGGAAGGACTGACTGGGGAACATTCTAGAAGGTGACAGCCATCTCCTCTCCTTCCTGTTAAGTCTTCAGGAGAGATTAATGTAACCACATCACTACAGAATTTTCAGAGCTGGAAGTCACCTGTGAAACCCCCTCATTTAAAAAGAGAAGGGCTGAGAGTTTTCTAGACCACACAGCTCAGAGAAGCAGCTGCCCATGTGAGTTACGGGCCTCAGGCCCACCGCCCTCCCCTGCCCCTGCTGGTCACCAGAGGTCGCGCTTCCCTGCCAGGCCCACACCTGTGGCCAGCAGCACCTACCCGATGGGTTTCCCGGCCCTGTGGAAGTCCTTCAGGACGCGCTCTACGTCTTTGTTGACTTTGCAGTCCTTCCCGTCCACGGCGAAGGTGCTCCTACAAGAAGAGGCTTCCTTACATCTCAGAGCTCCTGTCTATTTGCAACACCTGAGATCTGACATGTGGTTCCAAATTGGCTTCTCCCGTTATTATATATCTTTCTGGGTTTTTTGTTTTTTTTTTAAAGGAGAGACACGGAAAGCACAAGGAAGGAGTTCGGGCAGCAGAAGTGAGGCGGGAAAGCACACACCAGAGCAAACCGAAGCGGCAGGCTCGGACTGCAAGCCATGCCATGTGGTCCTTAGCGCTCAGAAACCAAGAGACAGCAGGACACATCATTGGCCTAAAACCAGTGATAGGTGCTCCAACTTGACTGACAAGGAAAAGAAATGTAAATTAAACAAGACGCCACCTCTTTCCCCAGAGCAAGAGCAACTGAGGAGTCTGAACAGCTTCCTCTCCCAGGCGGTGGGTGTGCGCCCACCTGTACCGTCTCCATGGAAGGCAACTGCGTGAGACCTGTCCAGTCTCAAAGTCCACCTCTTTTCTGAGAGCCTCACTCTGGGCTTCCCTGGAGTGCCTGTGGGTCCCACCCCGCCACACTGGGACAGCTGCACAGCACTGGCACGAAAGACAGACGGGCAGTCACTCTCCTCACGTGGCACGGTGTCTCAGTGTGGAAACCTGTCAAGTGATCATTTTACACTTTAAATACGCGTATGTCAACTCTACCTCCAAAAAGCTACGAAGAGAAGAAAGGATTAGACATCAGGGGCATCCACCAGAGTTGGGCCGTTCGCCCAGCTGTTAGGACAACTAACGGGCCAACAAACCACACTGTTAAGCAAAAGGTATGAGGTACAGAACAGGGAGCTTAAGAGGCCATCATCTGGCTAAATTTTTAATGCGACCACACATGTGAGTAACTCAGGAAATACAGAAGCTAGCAACAGTGCCAGGGAGGGTACCGAGGTCCCAAGCAGGGGGAACCAAGTAACTTCCGTCACCGCTGAACTCGCCCACTGCTGCGCGCTGCACCCTGATGACCACAGCAGCTACCGCGTAGGAGGGACTGATGTGGAAGCTGACCCTTCTTCTGGGAAGGTCGTAACGAGTGGGGCCAGGGCCAAGAGCCACAGCTTCCCACAGGGCAGGAGGCGCTCACAGACATGCCTGGTGGCCCAGGGCACCCCACGCTCTTTAACACCAAGACACAGACGCACCAAGAACCTGGTGCCCCTCCTATCTGAGCTCCTAAATCAACCAAGTATGGAGTTAGCCACGCTGGGGACACACCCAGGGATGGTGCTGACAGTCAGAGGTAAGGCCAGTGGTCTGTAAAAGCTAAGGCCCAGCTGATCTAGACAGTCCTCTGCCATCCCTACCAGGAGGCTCACAAAGATGGTGACATGGAGAAATCCCTTCAAAGCCTGGGTTTTGGGACATGGAGTGGGTGCGCAGCGGTGCCAGGGGTCCCGGCAGGGAACGAAGCCTTCTAGGGACTGGGGGAAAAACAGGCGCATCTGGGGAAAGCAGATGGCGGGGAGCCTCGAGGCCCCGGTACGGAAGGGCTGTGAGCACTGAGATTTTAGGGCACGTAACCACCTCTGCCCGTTACTTCTGGGCACAGGACGCCCCGAGTGAGCCAGCCAGGGGGCTCAACGTGCCGCTGCAGGGGGAACAGCAACGACCAAGTGGCCAGCTGTCCCAACAGCGTGAAGGGGGCACTGCGAGCACGAGGACCCTGCTGAGGCTTGAAGCCTCACTTGCCCCACCTACCCCCGCCCCACAGGAGGGGCGAATTCTGATGGCAGGTGAGTGCAGGTGAGGGACCCGGCTCTAACAGTCAACAGGACGTTCCCGCAGGACTCTGGGGCCGGCAGCTGGAAAAGCAGTCAGAAGCGGGGATTTGTGATCCAGACGTGGTGCCAGCTGAGGCAACACGCGGATGAAATTCCTGGGGAGAATGGAAGCGGGGTGTAGGAAGGAGGTGGAAACTCCACAAAGGAGCAGCTGGGGAGAACCGGGCCCAGCGGGCAGGCCGGGCAGCGCTCAGGTACGTGGTGCAGAGGCGGCAGCGTCTAGGGGAGGGGGGTGCTGGACACCCGGGCCGGGAGATGTGAGCCACAACGGAAGGCCTGGAGGGCGTGGGCCCCCGGGGGAGGTGGCAGAGCAGCACCCGCCCAGCCTGAGAGGAAAGGGGACAGAGGAGAGAGGAGGAAGCGCAGTTCCTGGAGTGCTGCGCCGGGTGGGTGGGCACCATGCGGCGGGGGGCAGGGAGGAGGAAGCTGCAGGAGTGGCCTCCTCAGTGGGAAGACAAGCCCCCGGGGCTGGCTGCCTGTGGTCACAGTCAGGGGTTTTGTCACCACAGATCCCTGGGCCTGGGTCAGGAATGTTCTGAAAAGTATCACAGGAAAACGCTTAATCCAGGGCCCGATTTTCTAATCTGCTGCATTTCCGTCAAACACATGTAGTGCAGTGCGCCCCACTAACCCCGCGCCCCACCGCAGTGGCCCTGTGCCACCGCAGGAGACAGGCCCTGGGGCAGTGAGGTCGTGCAGAGGGTTTCCATGAAATGGGCAAGAGACGAGGAATGAGAGAAGAGAAAGAGGACCTGAAACCCAAAGGATGCCATGGTGACGGCCTTCATCCAGTTGCTGTGGCAATGACCCACAGGGCAAAGCCAGGAAGGGCTCCTTCCTCCAGTCAGAACAGTCAGGCGCCCGGAAGGCAGTGTTCCGGGCTGCACGGCCCACAGGGACACACACGCACAGATCGGTTTTGCCGTGAGGAGGCCCACCTATGCCGTGGGCAGGTCAGCGGGAGGCACACCCGTGACGGCAGCCAGGGGCCGAGAGGGCTCGGAAAGGAGCAGGTGAGAAAAATCTGTCTTGCCAAAATGGGACCAAAGTGCCACGCTATACAGTGGTTCCCTGTCAGAGCAGCTACTTGCATCATTTGGACTGTGAGACCCCAGCAGTGGCTCATGTCACTACCGGTCCCCACGTATGGCTCCAGGTGAAGAGCACAAGGCCCCGAGCTCCAACACTCACAGGTTTTTGGCGGCTCCAAAGCCCCCGGGGAAGATGGCCGCATCATGACTGGCGGCATTTAGCTGGGCCAGGCTGGTGATCTTGCCACGGGCAATCCTTGCTGACTCAGTCAGAACATTCCTGGGGGAAAAAACCACAGAAAAAGGCCAAGAAAAGGTTCAGTGCAGACAGGAGATCAGGCACGATGGCTCCCAAAAGAGGCTGTGTTTTCTTGGCCCCAGGTAGTAGCTTTCACACATGAATTTCACATCAATACCTAGAAAAGACGGTAATAGAGCTACAGGGGCGTAAGTCTACACAATAGACGTTTGCCAGAACCCTTCAGCTCAGCACTTCAGAACCCACCCAAATCATCTGGAGCCTTCTGCTTCCAGGGGCCACCAGGAAGACAGACCCCACGTGTCTGAAGCAGACAGCATTTATGTGGGGAACTAACAGACAGGACAGTGCTGGGAATCAGGAAGCTCTGGTGCCAAGTGAGTGCACCAGCCACAGTGGGTGCTGCTGCCGCCCAAGGCCAGGGTCCCAGGCAGAAAAGAAACCACAGGCGTCCTGACGAGGACTGCAGCCCCCAGCAGAGAGCACTGTGGCCTCTTCCTGTTACCCATCTCTCACTGTCTGAACCCAGCTGAAGGGGGCATGGCAACCACAGCCTCCAGGGCCACTGCTCTGTGGTCCCGGCAGGACAGGAGGGGACAGGTGGATCTGCAGGGTCTCAGGAACAGAAATGCTGCTCAGAGCTACTCAAAGACATGTGGGGGCAGCCAAACTGGGGTGCATACCTTTGGTCAAAGGGAAGTAAGGAGCTGACTCCGCAGGAATGTGTTTTGGTACACAAGGGACGGTAACACTCTGAGGCTGGCCCGCCTAGGGACAAGTGCGCTGAAGGATGGGTTTGAATAGATTTGGCCCTGGCTGGAATGAAACAGCTATGCATGCAGGTTCTCAGGGAGCTTCAACCTGCCCCTGTTCACAGTCAAGGACAAGAGGGGTAGAACCCACACCTGGTCTCGTTCTCAGAAGGCTGTCCCTTGGTGTGGTCAATCACGTGCATCTGAGGGACGTCAGGAGCAAAGATCTGGACCTCGGCCCCGCCACGGCTCAGGTGCACCAGCACCCTGCAAGGGAGGAAACCAGACCAGCCTTAGAGATAGGCCCAACCCAGCTTCACCTGTTAACATGTTTTTTAAAAACACAGGATTTTAGCTGAACGCCAAGTATAAATTCCTTGCATAGCTAATAACCCACTTGCTTTGCAAAAAGATGTGGTTGGACTGCTAAAGACCCAAACGCCCACAATTTGAATTCACTGTCACTGAACTAGCCTGCAGAGACCAGCTGGTCTCCACGCTCCCTTTACAAACTGGGGTGCAGGAGCGGGGCAACTTCACTGGTGTCCCAGTCTAGATGTTTGGATTCCCAGGCTGCTGTGGGGTGTCTCCCTCCCACAGGCCAATTGATGGGGGGGGGGCTAAAGGGCTTTGGGTCAAGATAGTAAGTTCAATTCCTGGTGTTCCCCAACTTTGCTGTCACGGAGTTGGGAGGCACAGAGACATGCAGACCTCCTGGAGGGCGGCTGGCGGGAGCAGCATTTACGGAGGGCTACTCTGCGGCAGGCATGCCACTGATAACTCACCAGTCGGTCCCAGACTTGGTGCTGTCACTGCCCCCTTTTGGAGGAAATAGAGATGCACCATCCAGTAGAGCCTGAACTGCCTGTACTCACTTGGGGGCCCTGCTCCTCCGTAGCCTCCTAGGCACTCCACATACAACTCCTTGACGTACTGGGAGGTTTCAGGCTGTTTGTGGGTCCTCCTTGCTTTCTCCACTCTGTCGTTCCCACACCCCAATCAGGACACTCTGCCACCCACCAGCTCCACAAACTCTATTGTCAACAACTGACAGGTTACATCAGTGACAGTCTACAGCCAAGGGTGCTGCAAGGGCGCTGTGTGGATGGAAACTGGGCTGATGGAGGAGGAAAAAAAAGAAAACAGTTCCAAAACTCAGGCACCTGATCCCAAAGTTTGTAACATGTGGGGGTGTTCAGAACCGCAGCACGGAGAAGTGCTTACTCTGGTGACAGCATTACAGACGATACCTAAGAAGCTTATTTGTGTCCCCCTGTATTTTACAGATGTAATTTTAAATTTTCCCTCTGTGCCTCCCTGTCCCTTGTCAGTCACTTCTGCCTTTCTAATAGGAGAAAAGTTTCTCCAGACGTTGAGGAGGCGGAGGAAGCAACCCGGTTCCCAGGGCGGCTATCTCAAGGGGCTTACGCTGAGGCCTCGTGGAGCTCCGTCCCATCGTACACTCCGCACCCGGACAGCACCTGCGGGAGGAGCGTGGGTCACGAGAAGTCCACGTGGTGGGGGGGGGGGTGGCCAACCTCGAATGGGGGTGGCAGACTTCGAGATGGGGTGCCCGACCTCCGGCGGCCCTGCCCCACGTCCCCGCGGTCGTGCACTCACCAGGGCGACCCTGGCCCCGGGCCGCGGCGCGGAGCCGTGGAAGGCCGCGCGCGGGGAGGGTGCTGGTCCGCTGGACAGCAGCGGCCGGAAGCCGGGGAGCGGCGTGAATGCAGAGGCCGCCGCTAGCCGGGGAGCCATCAGGGCCCTGACAGCTGCCATGGCATTAGGGGACAGCGGAGTCGCAGGGTCGCAGGGTCACAGGATGGAGGGGCCTCGAGCGGAACGAGCCCGACCGCGCCTGCGCAGTCTCCCGGTCCACTCCGCGAGAGCGCAGGTGGGAGGGACCGCGCCTGCGCAGTCGCCGGGCGGTGCTCTACTCAGCCTTCAACTGGAAGTTTGTTTTCCTCAGTCCGCGCCTCTTGCGGGGTTGCTGGGACTTCGGCCCCCGCTGCTCTCCCTCAGCCCAGACCCACACCCTGTCCCGTGTCCGGCCGCATGCTTCCAGTTCCAGCGTATTCAGGGCCGCGCCCGCAGTGTGTCTCTGGGACCGCGCAGAGGCCCGGCCACTGCGCTGAAGTAGCCTCAGTGTCCTTTGTCATCCATAAAAGCCATTTCCGAACAGGGAAGAGCCAACGTCCAGGCGTCTGAGGTTCCCAGGTGTTCGTGCTGTTTGCGTCGAGATCCGGATGCAGTCCACGTGGGTCTTTCCCTGTGTGTGTCGCCTGTAAACTGCAGGCCCTCCCCCCCCCCCCACCCCGCGACTCCACTCCACTCAGAAGGGGTGTGGGGCCGGGGGGAGCGCGTCCTTTCATCAGGAACCCACGAGGTCTGTTCTGCTGCTGCCCTTGATGCTCAGTGTGAGCCCTTGCACTAATTGTTGCAAAATGGGGACATTCTCATTCTTTCAACCACCAACTGGAACTTCAACGTTGAAAAGAAAAAAAAAAAAACACCCTATTATCCATGAGTCGGTTCACAAACGCACACATGGATAGATGATGCTTTATCCTTTTCCTTGATTTACCAACTTTCAAACTAGCACAGGTTTTTCTTAAATAATTTCAATGGCCAGGGTTGGAGGCCGAGAGTGAGCTGGACTGCAGACACAACCCAGGGCTGCTGCTCCCAGACCCTACCTGCCGAGCTTCAGCTTGCATTCCTGTCACCTGCAGGGGCGGCTGCTCAGCTGCACCTCACCGGAAACCCGTGAAGCTTACTGAGAAAGCTCCCGTGAGGAGGGACTGCCTCTTTGTCTGGCCCACGTCCCAGGTGGGGATGATGTGCAGGAACAAACACCCAGTGGCACCGGGGTCGGAGCTCTGCCAGCCTGAGCACACGCACCGTGGAACCCCGCAAGAGGCGCGGACTGAGGAAAACAAACTTCCAGTTGAAGTTGAACAGACGGGCTGCAGAGCCCAAGAGCAGACTGCCTGCCGGCAGCACAGGGCCTTCCTGCGGGACGGTGGTGGTGGTGGCGGCGGCAGGCACCGGTGCACCAGGCGTCACACACACTAACCCCCGGCCTGGCCCGGGGCCTCCCATCACCCTAGGGAGGTGAGCATATGTCCACTTCGAGGAGCACAGGAGAGCCAGGCTGTCCAGGGACTTGTGGGCTGCACTTCTGATAAGCAATAGGATAGGGCACGCGGACTCCATTCCCACACCCTCTTCGGAAAGCACTGTTGTTGCTACCAAGCCGGAGGACCAGGCACCTGGCCGTGACACAGCGAGTCCAAGCCACTCTCAGTAACGGCCCCCCTCCCCCGCCCCACGCCAAGGGCCACTGCACAGCAGGTCTCAGTGAGCCCCCAGCAAGCCCATCTGGTCCTCTCCAAGGCCAGAGTCAAGCAGATGCTCCCTGCTCCGACCCTATGTAGAGATTATGGAGCAGGCGGCCTAGGCTAGGCATTATGACAGTTACACTCAGGACACATTATAAACATTGTAATTCAGAGTTTAGACTTAATCCATATTTACATTTTAGGAAACTTTTTTTCATCCCTAAATTTATCATCAAAACTTTATTATTAAAAAATATAAATAACTTTCATACAAAGTTCATGAGTCTATAAATATGAACCCATGGGCCTCTCTAACAGGCATTCTCAGTAGCAAACACTCAGGTTTTTGTTCACACTGTGGGGCCCAGGGCCCTTTGTGTGCCGAGCCCGTGCTGACCAGGGGCCGGGCAGCTCACTCGCAGATGCTTGGTCCTTACAGAACAGCAGGTCCTCGGTGATGGTTCCCCAGCTCCCCAGACTGCCCTCCACTCACTTCCTGGGCCCAGGTGGCCGCGGTCTCTCTCTTCCAGGGTCTTAACTGAAATGAGCCAGGCTGCAACGCAGCCGGCTCTACACCAATAGACTGTGCCCGTCGTCCCCGTCCCCATGTCCTCCACCGAGCAGGTGCAGGCTGTCATCATCGTCGGACGCATCTGCTTCCTCCTCACTCCCCAGCGGCTCCGAGGGGCGTTTCATGCCCCGCTGCTTGGAGACTGCCAGAGCATACTGGATGTTGTAGCGGTTCCAGTCGCAGCTGTGAGAGTGCAGGGTCACGTTAATGAAAGCAGCGGTGACTTCTATTCCACCGCCAACCCTGGCTCACCTGGCACCCCACCACCCCACCACCCTCTCTGTGACGCTGAGAAAAAGCAGCCATGGGTTGTGCGAAACCTCACCTGCCCCATGTTTCCTCCTCTCACCCCTGCCCTGGCAACCCGCCGTCTACCCCCTTCAGCCCTGGAGCAGCAGCCTTCAAGGACCCAGCTGCAAGACCCAGGCCTTCTGGTCTGTCCTCACTGCTCCTACCCTTCCTTGGGCCCAACCCACACAACTTCGTCAGTGCCAGTGGATATCTGAGGAAGTACTGGCCTAGGGTCCAGACAGGGACACTAAGTCCCCACATTAAGAGAATAAAGTTCAGCCCTGACTGGTGTGGCTCAGTGGACTGAGTGCCGGCCTGTGAACTGGAAGGTTGCTGGTTTGATTCCCAGTCAGGGCACATGCCTGGGTTGCAGACCAGGTCCCCAGTAGGGGGCGCACAAGAGGCAACCACACATTGATGTTTCTCTCGCTCTCTTCCTCCAAAAAAAAAATAAAATAAATAAAATAAAATCTTAAAAAAAAAAGAGAGAGTAACAATCATTTCAATGCAGGAAGCCACCAGTGACAACAACTGAAAGGGAGAAAGGATGGCAGAGGAAAAAAAAGCAGCTCTGTGAACTCTGAAAAAGACTCGCAATCTGGAAGCACAGATGGAGTACCCCCCAAATCAATATACAACAGCCGGCTGTACCCCCACACCAGCAACAATTAGATATTGAGGTCCATGGAACGATGCCTTTACATGCACCCTGAACAGCAAGGAGTCGGGCTAACAGGAGGCACCCGGCCTCTTGGACAGAGCTCTGTGGAGTCGCAGCACCGTCCGCAAGAGGAAGGCTCGCCCTGGCGGTGGCAGAGCCCACACAGCCCCTTGGTGTTCCTGGGAGCAGCCAGGATACTTGGGAAGAGAAGCCTCAGGGAGGAAGGGCTTGTTCCAGGCTCAGAGAGACTGAGGAGCCACGGGACGGGAGAGCTTTGGGTCTCCTGGGTCCAGACACAGGGCAGACATAAGCAGGGGCAAAGACAGACAGACACTCAGGAACGGAGCTGGGATGCCTGGCCATTGGTGCTGACAACAGCACCTCAGAACCCACCTCTCTTCGCTCACCCAGTCAATGGCAGAAAGGGAAAACGGCTCTCCCTGACCCAGGGAGGACCCCCTGCGAGGCCTTCGTGGCTCCACTCAGCCTCGGGGCGGGGGCTGGACAGTGCCCAAACCATGTGAGGACAGAAGCACGGAGGCTTCTGGCCCCACCACAGCATCCCCTCCTCCACTTGTCTCGCCACAGCAGGGGCTCGTCGTTTGACGGAGTGATTTCCTCGTTTTCAGCTCCCAGCCCCATCTGAAGCTGGCCAGCCTTGAGTACCAGGCCTGCCAGATTTAGTTTACCAGCAGTGAGGGAGCAAGCACCTCCAGCACTGGTACCTTTTGTCCCCAAATGAGAGGACACAGGGAGCAGACCCTGGCATGGGCCAGCTGGTGATGGGACAACCCCGACCCGGCCCACCAACAATGCTGGCAAAACGTACAGTTTGGAGATGTTGTCCAAGTGCCGCTGGATGCTCTTCTGAAGGAACTGAACTGTCGGCAGCAGCTTCCCTGCTCTGGAAAGGAGACTCCCCTTAGTGCTCAGCAGTTGAGGACTGCTTCGCGTGCTGTGCGTGCGCATAAAGACCTCCCTTCACACTGTGTATACATGTAAAGGCCTCACGCTACACCACATGTGCACATAAAGGCCTTACTTCATGCTGTATATCCACATACAGGCCTCAATTCACGCCATGTTTGCATGGAAAGCTTCCCTTTATATCTGCAAAGATTAGCCGACCAAGCGATAGGAGTCACAGATGGACGAGCAGATAAACACATCGTACCTGGACTTCAGCTTCTGTCCATGGACCATGAGCAATTTCTGAGTCCATATAAGGTAGAATTCTAGATGGTGGGACACTTCAAAGGATGAAGCCAAAAATTCAAGCACTTTCTCCACGTATAACTCTGGGAGGGAGGAGCTGATAACTTCAACTGTAAAAAAAAAAAAAGAGAACATCGTCATGATCACTCTGCAAAGAACTCCAGTCAGGAGAAAAGCCGGTCACAGCTCACTCCCTTCCTGCATCTGCACAGAACCCAGGAGCCCCAACCAGCAGGTGCGGGCACAGGGCCCCGGCAGCCGCCCCCTCCCCGCCCCAGCCAGGCCCGGAGCTCACTCTCGTCCCAGGGCACCGACTCCAGGGCCTCCTGCACCAGCTTCCTCTCGTTGAGCCGCACAGCCATCAAGATGGCCCTAGTGAAGTCCCGCTGGCGCAGTGCCGCCCTGATCCGCCCAGGGGTGACGCTGGTGTCCAGCTCAAATGGGTCGAAGAGCATCTGGGTGTCCAGGGAGTAGATGAGCAGCCCCTCGGTGGTGGTGGCCGCCCAGCAGCGCCCTGTGAATGAAGCAGTCACATGGCTCCTAAACAGTCTCGTTTTCCCTCATTTATTTTAAGTAACAGGGATTGACCACATTCCCCGTGGTCCCCAACACAGCAGCACAGAAAGGAATGCGGGGATGTCCTCTCGCTCCTGACCCAGCCGCCAGGTCCTCTGGAAGGAGCACCCGGGTCCCTGGGGTAAGCCGTCCTCCCGAGCACAGCGTGCACATGGGAGCAGACATGCAGGGTCCTCCTGCCTTGTGTACTGGTACCAGCAGGCCTGGCACT